AAAATAGGAAAAAATATAGCGCACCAAAAAGTTGAACGGTACCATCCCTCCATATTTCATATGATCGTACTGGTAAATAAAAAACACGTGTTTTCTGGCCCTCCCCTTATACAATGAGATTGTATTACAGATTTTACAACTTGTTATAATAATACGTAGAACACTAACTTTCTCATTAAAGTGATAACCTCAAAATTTGTTTTTAAGATGCATACTTCATTGTTTTTGATATCTATTTTTCTAATCTCTATTTTTAAATGTACTGAAAATGCAGCACCTTACAGTCCAGCAGGGAGAACAGAATTAATGTCCGAACTTGTATCTGATAAGGTCTATTATTTTGGTGGATATGGAATTAATGGCGCAATGAACGAATTTTTTTATATTGACTTGACTCAGCCATTTTATAGCTTTTCTCCTACATATCAATTCATAAAATATTTGGATTTTAGAGGTGGAGCTAGTGCTATCTCTGATGCAAATAATATATATGTTTTTGGTGGTTATGGCAGTTCCGGCTCACCTATTCGTGAACTTTATATAATTCAACAATTATTTTCAGCGGATCCAGTAATCAATTATATTCAAGATACAAGTTCAACACCACCCATGAGGAAATGGCATACCTCTGTAATTGATCATACGAATAAGAAAATGTATGTTTGGGGCGGAGTTAAATCATTGCACAGCGGGTATTTACTATATTTATATACTGTAACTGTTTCATATACACCGGTCTTGTATAAGCTAGAGAACTAAGGGTTTGTCTAAAAGACTTTATGCAATATTTATATTTTGGGTAATTAGGTACAGTGTACAAAATTTATTGTAAAATATTGGAATTCCCGTTTGATCTCGGCTTAATTTTAAGCGGACAAATTTCATTGTATGAATGTCTAAATTTAACTTAAAACGATTTTATTAGAAAAAACAAAAGCAAGTTACATCACCGTACAATTTTAAGCAGTGATTAGTGATAAGCGAAAATTTCCAAATACCGTATAAGTCGCTTATGCAACCGATACTTTTTTCTAGTAAGTTTTCGCTTATACCCAACTACCCAAGATATAACTGATTTATTTTCTGCCATCCACGTTACATAAACTTTCCAGTATTTAAAAGTAAAATGATTCCTTTTTTTACGCATTGTCTTTAACGTTAAAGATTCAATACGGATAATACAGTATGTGATAAATCAATATACCGTATTTTTTGGTGTAAGATACTTGGAAATATTATAAAATATTTAATTAATTATACCGGGTACTATAAAGTGTGTACTGGAATTAAAATACTATTGTTAATAGATAACTTATATGAAGGTTCCTATTTAATCATCCTATTATAATACTCGAATCTTTTACATCAAGATTACTAAAAAGGGAAGTAGAGTATTATGCTACGTAATGGGTATTTACTCCATAAATACGGTGTATGAAAAACGTTACGTAGATGGCTTATTTATCTAGATTTAAACTAAGTACTCTGATTTATACAAGTTTATCGTGTAAAATCATTCTGTAATTGTGCAGTACTAACACGTATATTTAAGGCCTGATATCACTCAAGGTGACGGAACCATGTACATATATGATATCGAAAAATCTATCTGGACTTCAAATCCTACTCCTAACCAACCTATCGGTCGTCAACTTCATACAGCAACTTTTTTACCCGATGGACGGATAATTATGATCGGTGGTGCCTTTAGTTCAGATGTAGGACAGGTGAGGAGTGATAGATTGTGCAATCACTGGTAAAAAATATATTTTAACTAAATAATACCTTGTAATATATAGTACAAATTATAACTTAATTGCTGGATAATATCTGTATTTAAATATATTTACTAATAAATACATATTATCCAGTAATTAAGTTATAATTTGTACTATATATTACAAGGTATTATTTAGTTAAAAAATATATATATTTTTTGCCAGTGAGTATAACATTCTTCCATATTTTAATTGGTTAACACCAAGTTTAGTCAATTATGGTATATTTTTCATAAAAGAGTAAATAGTTTACTAATTAGTGTCTTTATTTCTATATTTTAAAGCTTGATGTATATGATACGAAAACTAATCAATGGTCAAATATTGTAAGTGCTATATATCAATTCATTTTTATTTATTTTTACGCATTCTGTTAAATTGCACAATTTCTAGGTAGCAACAACAAATAATGGCGTTATTCCCCCAATTATTTTTCACTCAGCAACTCTATTACCTGATAATCAGAGTATAATCATATATGGGGGTAGCAATCAAACTGGATATTCTGGTCTAGCAGTTTTGAATCTCTCAAGTTATGTGTGGACAATTATATCTCCGATTGGAAGAACGCCGCCCTTAGTTTCAAGCGGCCACAAAGCTACACTCTATTTTGATGTCATAATTTTCGCATTCGGTAAGTATTATGAGCTAATTTATTTCTCTTTGTTGACTATAGATTTTATTTAATTTCTGAATTTACTGTATATAGGTGAATTTCCTTTCAATAACTCTCGTTATCTTATAGATAACACAGTAAGAATCCTCAATATCTCCAACGGTCAGTATAGATGGGTTGATTCATTCACTCCCCCTCCAACTCAAAACCAAAGTACGAATACTCAAAATTCGAATGTTCAAACTTCAAATATAATAATTATTATTATTGTGTCTATCATTGGTGGTATTGTATGCATCGGAATATTGGTATTAATTGGGTATATTATCTGTAAGAAAAATCGATTAAGAGAAGTAAGATATGTAACGGAAAGTAATCATGAAGTCAGATATGTAATGGAAAGTAATCACGAAGTCAGATAGGTACACTTTATTAACGTTAAAACCAAAACTATATTTAAAAGAAAAAGCAAACTCTTTTAGTAAAATCCATATGCACATAGTCGATACAAAAACGCCTGATTATGAATTTAGTACTTCAAAATGAGTAATTACGTGTGCAATTTAAAACCAAATTTTGTACTTGTGTATGACAGTACGTATGTATTGTGCCTACGTAGAAAATAAAGTTAATTCATGATATATTTCGTTGTAATAAAAACATTGAGTCTTTATACTATGCTGTATTGCAGCTTATTATAAAAATTGTAGTTATAGTTTTAAGTTAAATATACGTCACACGTATCCCCATAAAAAAAAAACATTTATAACCAGTGATGGCAAATAACTAAGTCATAAAAATTTTCATGAAATTGACCGTAAATGGCATGTCATTTTAATATGACAATGTCATTTATTATAAAAAAATTTATACAAAACCATAGCAAAATGACAAGTCATAAAAAATATTTTATAAATGACATTAAAATGAAAAATAAATGACAATAATATTAATACTAAGTATTCTTAAGCACCAAATGCTGTTGCAATAATCAGCACTATTTAATGCAAAAGTTACGCACATGCGTACATACATGCGTATGTACAATTTTGTAATTTTATTAAATCTATTACAGTATTATGCTGAGATAATAACTTAACCGGAATCATTCAGCTAATTTTTATCAGGTGTTTCAGAAATTATGATAATAGCAGTATGAACAATGTTCTTTCTGAAATAAAAATAAAAGTAAAACAAGCAAATTTATTATTTTGGTATATTATGGATGGTGAAGCCACTCACATGCTCATGTTCTAATTACTAGTTATAAAAATAAAACATGAATGATTACCACCTATCGATTATACTTGTATTCTATAAAATAGTATTTGTGCTTCACCTCAACTTGTCAACTTGACCAAACAAATTATTAACTAATACCAAATCACAATATATACTTTTAATCAATTCTAGTACATAGATTCTAATATGTAGATGGTATTGGAATTAAGGTTTAAACTATATATAGTATATATAAATTGTGTGTGTATAATCTATAGAATTATACTAGTAAGTGGTGTTTGTGAAATTTGAATCTAAACTATATAATAGATTGTGTGAAATCTGTGGAATCTAAAGTAGTGAGTAAGTAAATAGATATATGTCAGTAGTTGAATTTAACTAGTAAACAGGTAGGTTTAAGTTGTTTTATATTTACAGATAGTAAATTTAGCAAGTTCTAAATAAGTGGTATTTGAATTTATATATAGTATATAGAATTATAAATTGCAGAAGTTAAGTATCACAAAAGAATAAAATTATAATAGTATGTATATGTATATACTGTATAATACTTTTTGTTTTGTATATATATACAATATATATATATATAAATTTTATATTTATATACTAAGATTTTTATTAATTAAATTGTGTCATATTTACTTAGTAATTGCAGATTATTTTGTTTTGTTGAGTAATAGATTATTAATTAAATAGTATATATCTCAAGTTAGAGACTACTGTCAAGTTAGATTTTTATATAATGAATTTGGCATTTTTATTATTGGGTAAACACTTCTATTTTTTATCTAGATATTTGCTAACATATATCTTAAACTAGTCTTAGCTGCTATTGCTTTTTACATATTCTTAGATATTAATCTTGTACTTGTTGCCTTTTCTAAATCTGTATTTTCTAATTGGTATAAAACAGAACTTGATTTGTATTGTATTTCAGAACAATTCTAGCTATATAATAAAGAGTTATACTGATTTAAGTAATATTATACTACCTTTAAGCACAACTTTTTTATTTATTAGAAATTATAAACCAAGATAATTCTAGTTATATTCAGAGAGTTATACTAACTCTAGTGATACTGTACTATTTTGAATCTGCTTTTAAAATATAGTATATATAGAACCTAATAGTAATAATATAATATTATTAGCTATTAAATATCTATTTATATAAGACTAAAAAATCAGAATCTAATAAATATTTAAAGCAATATAGTTATTATTATTTTATTTTTTTAAGGTAACCTTTAGTTGATTTCTTTTATTTAATTATAGTAATTTTTACAGTATATTATATATATTATATATATATTAAAAAAGTATATATGAGTGCATGAGAATAAAAACCTGGAACTGATTATAATGATTTACTATGATCAGTTACAGGTTTTCATTCTCACGCACTCATATAAGCTATATCTATAACTTTTGATTATCTATTTAAATTGTCTACTTATAACTAAGTTTTACACTAGATACCATATCTATAATCCAACTAGAGAATTATTTATTGAAACTTTCTGCATCTATATAAGTTATTCTTTAACTAAGCAAAATACTTTATATCTCTTTTTTTAAATATTTTACTTAGAACTTTAAAGCAAGTTTATATCTTATAGAAAGTTCTTTATCTTTAAGATAAACTTGCTAAAGCTTTCTGTATTCACAATCTAGCAAATCTAAACTTTAATAACTTATATTAAGTTCAAAAACAAGTACTTGTAGCCTTTTACTTATGCTATTATTATCTACCTTTGCTCTTGTAGAGTTTTTAAATCTTAGTTTTTCTTTCAAGTCTACTCAATACTTTCTACTTTCAGTATCTTCTAATTAGTTTCTCCAAACTTCTAATTCAAATAGCTTAAAAAAGACACCAGTTTCTGATATCTATTTAGTAGATCTTTTTCTAATTAATACTCCTAGTAACCTAGTTAGTGAAGTATTTTTGCTAAATATCTAGCTCTTATTTAGTTGTATTAATCTTAAATGTAGCTTATTCTATTAGTACTATCAAAGGTTTGTGCTACTTTCTCTACTCAAAACTTGTTAAACATATCTCTCTAGTTTCTTGGATTTATATGGTTGCTAAAACTTATTGTCTGGAGTGTAGTGACAGACTCTTACTTCTACGCTATTTGATGACTGAAACTACATTTTTGACACATTTATAGTAAATTATCAAAAATGTAGTTTGTGTATTTTCCGGATATAACGCCGTGTACCTTTATTTGAATATTCGTATAACAAAAATAGATTACACGTTTAGCAGCCAATAGTACTTTCATTTCGATCTTTTTTTTTATTTTGATCTTTTCGATCTTTTTTATTTTTATATTATTTTTTTTTAGGCAAAAATATGTTTCGTTTTTGTGCTTTCGTTGTTTTGCCTTTTTTTAACTTTCGCTTTTATTTTTTTTTGTTTTTTTGCGTTCATTTTATTTTTGTGATTTCGTTGTTTAGCCATTTTTTTTCGTTCAACTTCAGGATCAGGTATACGCATTTAATTTTTTTAGTTTGATTTTTCTTTTTTTTTATTAAATTAACTTGTTGCTTTTTTTTTCTTTCGCTTAATTTCAGGATCGGGTATACGCATACGCTTTTAATTTTTTTAGTTTGATTGTTTTTTTTTTATTAAATTAACTTGTTGCTTTTTTTTTCTTTTGCTCAAACTCAGGATCGGGTATATGCTTTTAATTTTTTTAGTTTGATCTTTTTTTTTTATAATTAAATTAACTTGCTGCTTTTTTTTCTTTCGCTTAACTTCAGGATCGGGTATATGCTTTTAATTTTTTTAGTCTGATTTTTTTTTTTATTAAATTAACTGTTGTTTTTTTTTTCTTTCGCTCAACTTCAGGATTGGGTATACGCTTATACTTTTTTTAGTTTGATTTTTTTTTTTTTATTAAATTTACTTGTTACTTTTTTTTTTCTTTCGCTCAACTTCAGGATCAGGTGTGTGCTTTTAATTTTTTTAGTTTGATTTTTTTTTTTTTATTAAATTAACTGTTTTTTTTTCTTTTGCTCAACTTCAGGATTGGGTATATGCTTTTGGTTTTTTTTTTTTTTTAAATTAACTGTTGTTTTTTTTTCTTTTGCTCAACTTCAGGATCGGTATACATTTTTAATTTTTTTAGTTTGATTTTTTTTTTTTTATTAAATTTACTTGTTACTTTTTTTTTTCTTTCGCTCAACTTCAGGATCAGGTGTGTGCTTTTAATTTTTTTAGTTTGATTTTTTTTTTTTTATTAAATTAACTGTTTTTTTTTCTTTTGCTCAACTTCAGGATTGGGTATATGCTTTTGGTTTTTTTTTTTTTTTAAATTAACTGTTGTTTTTTTTTCTTTTGCTCAACTTCAGGATCGGTATACATTTTTAATTTTTTTAGTTTGATTTTTTTTTTTTTTTTTAATTAAATTAACTTGTTGCTTTTTTTTTCTTTCGCTCAACTTCAGGATCGGGTATATGCTTTTAATTTTTTTAGTTTGATTTTTTTTTTTTTTTTATTAAATTGTTGCTTTTTTTTTCTTTCGCTCAACTTCAGGATCGTGTATACGCTTTTAATTTTTTGGTTTGATTTTTTTTAATTAAATTAACTTGTTGCTTTTTTTTCTTTCGCTCAACTTCAGGATCGGGTATATGCTTTTACTTTTTTTAGTTAAATTAACTGTTGCTTTTTTTTTCTTTCGCTCAACTTCAGGATCGGATATTTCGCTCTTTTATTTTCTTTCGTCTATTTGTCTGTTCTTTTAATCTTTAGTTTTTTTTTGCGTTCTTCTTTTTCCTTTGTTCTGTTTTTTTTTTTTTCTTTTGTTTCTGGTTTTGTTTTTCTTTTGTTTATCTGTTTTTTTTTCACATTTTTTTTTTTTTTTTTTTCTTTTTTTCCTTCTGTTTTTTTCTTTTGTTTTTTTCTTTTTTTTTTTTTTGTCTTCCCTTTCATTTTTTTTGTTTTTTTTTCATTCATGTGTTTATTTTTTGGTTTCCCTTTTATCTATCTGTTTTTTCTTTCATCTCTCTGTTTTTTCTTTGCCATTCTGTCTCTCTTTCATTTTTTTGTTTTTCTTTTGTTCTTTTTTTTTTCTTTTTTTTTCGTTTTCTTCATTTTTTTTCTTTTCGTAACTAACAATTTTTTTTCTTTAGCATTAATTTCAGAATCATCACATTGTTATTGGAGTTGCTTTGTTGTTGGTGTCATCCTTCTTGGTGGTGATGCTTTGTTGATGGTGTCATCCTTCTTGGTGGTGAAGTTTTTGTTGTTGGTGTTACCGTCTTTATGGTGAGCTTTCTTCGTTGGTGTGTAATCCTTCTTGGTGGTGAAGTTTTTGTCATTGGTATCGCCATCTTTATGGTAAGCTTTCTTTGTTGGTGTTGTCGTCTTTGTGATGAAATGAAGTTTTCATTGTGGTGAAATCGGACTTTTTGATATAAAGTGGGTGGTTGGGTGTTTTTTTGTTCATTACACAATGATGTTTATTACACAACGATATTCATTGCACAATGATATTCATTGCATAATAATTTATGTAAAAAAATTTTTTTTTTTTATTATATATTAAATAAATAAAAATCTTGGTTTTTTTTTTTTAATAAAGTCACATGATGCACATGACCGGTTTTGATTGGTCAATCACGGGGTCACCATAAAATAACCCTCTTTTTTTTATTATCAAATAAGATTAAAGAGCATATACGACAATTTTTTTTTTTTATTGTTTGTATTTTGCTGCTTTTGCTTTTACTGCTTTTGCTTTTGCCTTGCTGCTTTTGCTTTTGCTATTTTTGCTTTGCTGCTTTTGCTTTTGCTGTTTTTGCTTTTTACTGCTAATTTTGTTTTTGCTGCTTTAGCTTTTGCTCTTTCTTTTATTTGCTACTTTTGCTGTTTTTACTTATTTCTTTGCTTCTTTTCTTTTTTTTTTGTTTTATTTCTATTTTTCTTTTCTTTTTTTTTCTTTTACTTTTTTTTTTATTTTATTTTTATTTTCTTTTCGCTTTTTTTACTTTTCATTTTTTTTTACTTTTTTTTTTTTGCTTTTCTCTTTTTTTCCTTTACTTCTTTTCATTTTTTCATTTTTTTCATTTTGTTTAACCTTTTTTTTTTCCTTTTTCTCTTTTTTCTTTTCACTCTTCTCTTTTTTTTTCATTATTTTCATTTCTTTTACTTTGTTCTTCTATTTTTTTTTTTGCTTTTTCTATTTTTTTTTATTTCTTTTTTCTATTTCTTCTTTTCTTTCAACTCACCTTTTTCTTCATTTTATTATTCTTTTCTCTTTTTTTTATTTTCATTTTTCTTTCTTTTCATTATTTTTTATTCTTCTTTTCATTATTCCTTTCTCTTTCTTTTTATTTTGCTTTTTTTTTCTTTTTATTTTTCTTTTACTTGCCTTTTTTCTTTTTTGTTTCTCTTTTTTATTTTTATTTTCCTTTCACTTTTCTTTTCATTTTTTTTATGTTCATTTTTTTATTTTATTTTTTTTTGCATTCTGTTTTTTTCTATTTTATTTTAATTAATTTAACTAACTTTATTTTTTTTTTTAGATCTAATTTAATAGTTTTTGTTATCTTCAGTTGGAGTTGTTATCATTCTTAGTGACCTTGTTTTTGAAATTGCTATTTTTGGAACCTTTATTCTTAAAGCTATTATTAGGGTTGTAGTTATTAATGTTATCAGAATTGTTGGTATAAGTATTATTCATATGTTATTATTTTTTTATATTTATTAACACTTTTTTTCATCTAGATGTGATTTTTTCATTGCAATCATCAATAATAGAATCGTTGGTATCATTACGTTGTTGGTATTTTGTTGTAAATTGTGCTGCTTGTTTATCGACTTCTATATAGTTTAGTTTAGTTTAATATTAAGTAGTATTTTACTATAATATTATAATCCCATAATTCATTACTTCATTATTTTATTGCTTTGTATTTTTTTTTTAATAAAAAAGCATTTTTTTAAAGAAAATTATGATTAGTTTTAATTAGTTAATCACATATGATAATTACGTTATCTACATGATTGATTTTAATTAGACAATCATGGGATGTATAACTGTGCGGATATATATAAACCCTATTATATTTATTATTTTTATTTTTTTTATTTTGATCTTTTTTAATATATTTATTTTTTTATTTTATTTTTTTATATTATTTTTTATTTTATTTTTTTTATTTTTTATTTTATTTTTTATTTTATTTTTTTATTTATTATTTTTTTTTATTTTATTTTTATTTATTTATTCAAATAATATAAAATGCACCTATGGTGTTTATAGTGTTAATAAGTTTTTAGCTAAAATTTAAGGTTAAAGTGTAACTTTAGAGTAAGATAGGGTTAGATATAAGGGTCCAAATTTTAGTTAGCATAAGGTTTTTGGGGGTTCTAAACATTTTTACTTAGTACCCTTAGAGGTGTTAGCTAGTATGTTTTTGAGATATAGCCAATTATAGTGTTCAATATCATAGGTATATTTTAGTAGCGTTATATTTATTTTTTTAATTTTTAATTTTATTTTTTATTTTATTTTTTATTTTATTTTTCTTTTTATTTTTTATTTTATT